TGAAATTGAGCTGCAAATGTTGTAAAAGCCTGCAGTAAAACCACTAGAAGTTAAAGCTTAAGTAAGGCCAGAATTCCTAGGGGCACCTGGAAGCCTAACACAGGGCTAGACACACACAGGCCTTGCAGGAGAAAACGGGAACTGTGCATCAGAGGATGTGGCCGTGGGTAAAACGGGGGGTAAAACGTCTCCAGGACCCCACTTGGGACACGCTGCAGCMAGAGGGGTGCAGTGAGCCCCTGGCGCCAGCAGCAACCCCGGCCTCAGGCCTGTGGCACTTGGGCTCCTCAGTGGTTGGGAGGGCCTGAACGTGTCTTTTGCTCCCTTCCCCTCGCTCCTTTCCCAGGTGCAGTGACCTCACTGCACATCCACTTCTAAAAAGTAAATAATAATAATAATAATAATAATAATAATAATAATAATAATAATAATAATAATAATAAAGGTTTAAGTTAGAAGGTCTTATATGACTCTCTATTTTCAGGTCTTACACTGAAAATATCCAAGATTATATCCTCCCCCCACCCCAAAAAAGAAAAAAATAATGCAGGAAAAAGGTATGAGAGGATGGCATGCCCCGTACCTTGCCATGAGATTTCTCAATTTTCCTACTACCTGTAAAGTTTTTTAGATATAAATGTGTTTACACATAAACAAATTAATCACAAAGTCTTTGAAATTATACAGCAATTTAGATCAAAGAATTTTAGAGGCAACAAGTTTCCCAACTTCTATGCCCAAACTACATTTACTATATTTTCAAGATAGATGAAAAAAATAATAGATAGAAATTTAAAATAATTTAAAAAAATGCAAATGATGAAATGATACAAAAGCATCCTTTTCCTATACATGRGCTCATGAAATACATGTTTCAGAGAAATTTTCTTTTTTTTATATATTTTTTTTATAATCTGTTTTGCTATTGGAGAGTATTCCTCCCCTAGATCTCTTCTCTGCTAAAGAAAAAAAAAAGCACACTACCAGTTTCTCACCCTCACAGTATCACACGGCTGCTTCTTTCAGGTAACACGAATGCCCTTTTCTGTAAGGCTGCAGGATGCTGACTATTACTTCACTACTTGATTTTGTACCATTCTACTTGAGTATGTAGAGCAYAATTGACTCCAAACAGCTGTTCTAGAGTACAGCTAAGATCAGGAGACTAAAATACTCCAAAACATTTAGGAGAYTTCAATATATTCAGTCATTAGGATTGAGCTTTGCACTGTTTGTTCTGTAGGAGCTGCATGATGCAGCTAGTGCAGTCTGGTTACGCTTTGGAAAGAGATTTGCTACCAATTCCCTCTCAAAGAAGCACGTAAGTCCAAGAAACCTAACTTGTCTAACTCTGCAAAATATACTTGCTTCCTAATGAAATCTGTTCAACTGAAGGCTTACAAATTAGTCTCAGGAGGCAAGCAAGGGCCATAAAAAGAAAACAACTAGGCTTGCTTTCCAATAGTAATAAGTCTAAGTGTTAGTCAGATTGTACAGAAGGTAATAAGCTATTGCCTGCACTATGAGGCCTCATTATTTGAAATACAGAATATATCCAAAGCAATGTGTGCTGAAGCAGTGTAATACTTGCATTTTCTACCCATTTTGGAATTCCAATACGAGCTCATTTAAAAGGCAAAATAATTGAGCTGATTTTTTTTTCCCCTCTCCCCTGTGGAATTATTTCATCACTGTGCAAAAAGTTTATGGATCTTAGAACTGATTCCTGTTAAAGTAGTACTCAGTAATAGCATTTYCCTAAGCCTTGAAATTAGAAAGTTTGTGTTTAAAAATAAGTTTTTATTTGAAAATAAATAWATATATATATACATCTGAATGCACGGTTTAGTGTCTGATTAAATTCCTGCAAAACATGTCACTCAGGAAATTGAGAGGGAATTTTARAGGAGCTACAAAAGCAGTAGAGTGTGCTTTATATAAATTTAGATTTCAACTGAGGGTGAAACATGAAGATTGCCCTAAATAAAATCAAAAGCAGGTACATAAGCTGGATGAAGATGTCATCACTTGCATTCTGTATAAGGCTTTACATCCAACCTTGATGTTCCAATATGGTATCAAGGGAAGTTCATAGTATAGAAAAAAGAGGCAATCCAAAACAGGTAGGATCAGTGTTTTAGATAGAAGGTGAGAGTGTCAGCATTAATCATCTGACTAATGCAAATGAAGACAAGGGCATGTCCTATAATACACTCTGCACAGGTTTTTAATGGCAAGGGAAAGGGACAGCTGAGACAGGAAGAGAACACGTTAACATTTTCCTGTGGAGCAACCTTTACTCCTTGCAAATAGCTTCTCCACAAATAAGAGCAGAGAAGCTAATGCAGCTACACCTTTAGATCAGGTTGTGAAGAATTTGCTTTTAGTATTATTTTAGTATTTTAGTATTATTTAGTATTTAGTTTCAGATGCAAAATTAGAACAGCCAAATGTCACCAAAGCAAGCTTGGCTATACAATAGCAAAACAGAAAAATGCCTCCATAGACACACACACAATCAGCAGTATCAATCCATACCTGATTTTCCTTTGGGTCCTATAGACCTTTGACGTGGTGAGCTAAGCTCCTGCCATAAAACTTCAAATGCACACAGTTTGCTCATTTCTTTAGAGAGTTTTGATGTCAGAAACAGGTAGAATTAATTTTATGATACAACAGCGACTTTCTTCTAGGATATTAGGAACAAGCGTCATAAAAGATCATGTCTGAAGCCTAACTGTCAAAATAATAAATGAACAGTCTGCCAACAGCAACGTATGATCTTTATTCTTGCAAGTGACATTTGTTTAGTTAAACAGCCTTGCCACCTTTAGAGCAAATCTGKGTGCTCTGACCTTCCACTAGTTTTAGACTAGAAAAGGCACCTTAGATTAATGGTTGTAAACAATTCCCTCAACTTGTACTTCTTGACTTTCTAGTTGATAATATTTTTACCTAGAGCATAATGAGCTAAAACATAAAGGTTTTTCCCTAGGGATGATGTAGAGCCCCCACATTCCAGAAGTTGTGGTGAACTTAGCACCTAGCAAGGCAGAGTCCTTCAGGTGCTTATCCTGGATAGCGACAATTCTTCCAAGTGAAGCAGCRGGCCCTCAGTGACTAAAATTAGGATACAAACTCTTCAGGGAGAGCCTACAACACAACTTTCTGTCACTGCAAAACACCGATAGGTGGATTAGGCAGTCAGCAAGAGAGAGAGAGATGTGTCAGCACCAATCATCTGACTGCCTGTGAAGGGAAACAATGAATAATATCAGACAGTTAAGGTTTCAAGTAATTGGAAGTATCTGCAATGTAATGAATAGACATCTGGCAACAGTATCCTGTTCCAGTTAGCACATCATTTTGGATAGCTATAGTTCAGCTAACTGAGGTTGCACTATACATGCATTATAAAGATTTTCCAGTGTGGAGCTCCTTTAACTCTGGAGGTCTTTAGGATTCTTATATCAAATCCACTGCCTTTTTTTTTAAAAAAAAAAAAAAAGGAATAAAGAAAGAAAAAAAGTGTAATGTAGCGAATCCAACCAACATATTAAATACATTAAAGTCTGAAGCTTCTTGCCAAAGTTGACTGGTCCAGGAGATGGAATGTGTGGTTCTCTAAGACGGCTACAAATAGATCCTCTCCCGCTAGAGCTGAAAAAGCCAGCTGGGTCTGCCAGCAAAAATGTAAAGCAGACATTAATCACAGCAGCCTGCACCTTCCCTTCAAGTGCAAGCTCTGCGTATCAGAAGGGAGAAGAAGGGAAAGCACCGAACATAACGGAGCCGAGAATATTCTTATGCACTTCCTGGATGACTGCTGGCTCTAAGGTACTTTAAGCTAAGTACCTTAGTACTCTAAGCTAGTACTAAGTACTCTAAGGCACTGTAACTTCTTTGTTGCTATTAACCTCTCTGGATGATGCAGATCAACCAAAAGCAATCTATCCACAAAACACCAGCCTGATGCGTTTGTCCGAGGTTTTCCTTTAATTGCAATGCACAAAAGTTAAGCCAGGTTGGCAGTCTCGGATGCCAAATACCTTCAGTTCCTCACAGAACAAGTAGGTGAACAGCAGCAAAGAGGATGACCCCAGAAGGATCAACATTTGTGTTTCAATCTGCCATCTTTAGTACAGAAATCTAACTCTTCTCTTTCAGCTTCTATTATGACACTGTCACAGCATGGGTTAGTTTTATTTCTCAAGCATGTCTAACAAACTCGCCACACTTCTTTTTCCTCTAACAGTTATTGTTAATGAACACACACTGTCAGGGCTATCTCTGTTTCCTTCCTACAGGAGCAAAAGCTTTCTGCCACACCACTGCAGTAGGAATTCCTCTTTGCCATGTTTCACAACTGTGAAACAGATTGTCAGTTCTCTTGGCCATCACCATTCTTCTAGGGACAAGGTACCCAGAATGAAACATCAACCTCTAATATGCTGGCCCCCTCACTGGTTTGTCAGGAATTTGAAGACTTTGAATGAAGCAGTAACGCACATATATTGATATGAAGAGATATTCATCAGCTTCCAGTGCAATATATAATATTTCCTATTAACTTTGCAAAGTCTTGAGCAACAAGGTTTCAAAATATCATTACAGATAACGACGACATACTGAAAGATTTCAGCAACAGAGCTTTGAAGTGATCTACACACAGCTTTATGTAAGAGGAACAATAAAAAAATAAAATATCCTTTAAAATATTTCGGTGACAGCTTTTTTTTCTAGCTCAAAGAGAAATAAGAGGAATATTCAAAATGGGACAATATATGACTTGAAATTATTAATTTGCTCTTCACAAATCACTCATGTATATACTACATGTGAGAAATTTGTGCCATATCCATGTCAGTATAAATCCCCACATCACTCCATGTTCTTGAAAAACAGTGGATAAACATGTCATTTAAACCTAGATGTCAACAATTATTTACATGCACACAGAATTTATTGATTAGCTATTTTAATTAGAAAAGTAGTAGTACCTTCTTTTTGCTGCAGTAAATCTGCCATTTCTTCTCTGGAGGGAGTGCAAACATAGCCTCTCTGTTCTTATCTGTGAGATCCAGTTCATCCTGGAGATTGTGGAAAACAAAAACAAAAACAGTCAACAGCTGCATTGATAAGTCTCATACATTGGACRGAATCTGGATTAGCCATGTTGACCTGCTTTCAATCAAAAGATACGGTGCCTTCCAAAGATTGTACCTTCCAAAGTCCCACATTTTCCCCCACCTCTTTGACCATGAATCTGGTTTCTAAACTTTTGCCTTGTTGCTGCAGGTACTCCCTGTGAGTGCAGAATCTATAAAAAGGGAAAGCAGTGTTAAACTTTTGGAACTAAGCATTAGTATCCCCATAGGGATAGGAAAGATCACACTTTAGACAACAAACTGCATGTCATGAAAGGAGTGAAATGAAAAGCCTCAGAGTACTAGCTGACAGAACACAGCTCCTAGCTCTGTTACAAGCTCCCTCCACATACACTGCAGTACTAGTCTTCCTTACTCTACTGTRAAAGGCTGGTAATGATACATTCTGTCCTATGCAATGTGTATTACAGTCTATAAAATCCTCAAGGCATACACTGCTACTTACTGTGTGTTTGCTCAACACTGACCACAACAGGGGCTTCGATTGCAGTGAGCAATTTCATGTGATAATGGGATTTAAACAAATAAGTACAATCTTCAGGTGAAGATGTCTCAACGAAAGCCTGGGCAATATAAAAACAAGCTTCCATGAATTAGTTTTGGCCTCCACAATATATTTAAAAGCATTTGCAGAGGGAAGCGTCCAGGAGTCCGGTATCAAGATGACACTGTAGCACTGAGAAAGCTGCACGGGCAGATTCCGGCACCCGCGCTAACCTAAGCCAAGCCAGACAATACCTCTTTAACGCAGCGCAACAATGCCTCATTTGGAAAGCTTTCAGGGCTGGAAACTTGTGAAAACAGTGAGCTAAATTGCACACTGAGCCTGGTAGCGGCTGCTGACAGATTTAAAAGCCCACAGAGATTTCAGCTGCAGAAAGGTACAAAAGAAATGCAAACAGTAACAAGGCAAGGTCAGTGCCAGCAGCACAAGGTAGAAAAAGCTGGAGGATTTTTTTCTAAGAAAGAAAAAGTTTAAAGGAAAAAAAAAACACCTTTAGCTTTGCAAAAAGAGTTCAAATCATGTGGAAATGTTTAGGGTGAGTCTCCAAACAAGGGGGGAGCCAAGCGAGGCAAGGAGTTTTATCCTCGCTACACACAATTAGAAAGCTCCGGCCAGGATCGCATTCTTGGGGGGTGAGGGAGAGAGAACCGACATGCAAGGTCTTCAGACGAGTGAAGGAATGCTGGTGTAGGTCAGGCGTGTGGGAGGGAAAGAAGGGGCGGACAGGGAATCAGAAACGCCAGGTTTGGAAGAAGAGACACAGGGGCCAGAATACACATCTGAAATGAGCTAGTTGGGCTCAGCTAACCTCTTAGAGGGGGAAAAAATCATTGTTCTTGCTTTATTGAATTGCAAAATGATTTTTGCTTTCATTTTATAAAGAACAAATAACTTGCTCTTCTAACATACACCACTCTTTCAGAGGCCGGGTGAATAAGCAATTTCTTCTCGGTAGCTGAATTTAACTACAGCAGCAAGCTGAACGGTAGTCAACTCTGCTTGGTTTTCACAACAGTTTTGCCCACCAGACCAGCTCTCCAGCTTTCTGTGCACCACACTGAATGATGAAGATCTCAACTGATACATCAGAAAAGAATCATTTCACCAGGACACCACTCCCATCGACTAAATGAACCTGGTGGGCAGTTCCATTAGCAACTTTTAGACACTGCTGAATCCTTCTGTGGACACTGTCCACACAAAAGACAATAAGAACATGCAGTTCCAAGCAAGTAATTTTGCATGCTGATAGCATGACTTTCTTTTCAGAAGAGATGCCTGGAAAGGTTGGTTGAAGGAATAGAAGACCCAGTGGGAACAAACTCACCTGAAAAACAGTAGATGAGGACTGGGAGGATTAACTACCCTTCTTTTTGAAAGAGMTAAGGGTTTATTAGGGGGCAAAACGCTGGGCTCCAGCCCATGGGTCAGATGGTCAGGTTGTCAGCAAGAATCACAGAATGTTCAAGGTTGGAAGAATATTGCTCAGGAAAAGGGATGCCTCTTCCAGAATGCAAAGCAGAAGTCAAGCTCTTGGACAGCCTTCCCCCAGTACGTAGGTACTCTTTGGCAGGTGCGTTCCTTTGCTGAGAGGAAGAAAGGAGCAAGAGGAACTGAAGCAACCTACCTGCTCGCCTCTATTGACACTGTTTACACGTATTCTGTTCTATAAAGAATCAGAAATTGCTACAAAACGCAGAAGGCATGAATCCTTCTCCTAGGAGTTCTCCAAATTATCTTTTCTTTCCAATTGARTTCTCAATCCCCTTCCAAATTGGAAAAACAAAGTAGCTCTATGCGTGCAGAGGAAATGACTGGATCTAGCTCAGAAATAAGATCCTGGATCAGGCAGACCATTTCCCTATTCTGACTTGGAATCCAAACAGAAGGCACAAAAGAAAGCTTGATGTTTCAGAAAGCAGCAGGAACAACCACAGCAAGTGCTGGAAAAAAAAAAAAAAAAAAATCAACAGGGCGATTTGCTCCAGGAATAGGTCATTCTGACCTAACAACAGAGACAGATCTGTCCAAATGTAAAATTTCAGGCCCCAGAGTCAGCTCAAGGGCAGCCAGCACCTATTGGGCGAAGGAACTGCAAAGGTTGGCAGCAAAGGGGAAGAACTACAACCTCTCAATGGAATCAAGCCTGGGGTTAGAGACAGGTTAAGGAWGCCCATGAGATTGAAATCCCAGGGAGTAAGTAGAAAGGGCAAGAAAAGAGGTTTTGTCAAAACAAAGGGGTGGGAGGAAGCCTTTCTTCTTTACCTGAATCAATTTCACCTAGAAACATAGCAATTCCTCTTCTGTGTCTCGGGTGGATGACTTGGTTACAGCAGTTCAGGCCAGAATGATCCTGTACAAGAATTCTTCAAGGATTCAGGTTCTTGGCTCTTAAAAGTACTTCAAGTTGCATGGGCTCTAATGAAACATCTTTTGAAAAGGTATCTGCCAGGCTGTCCTCAGGGAGATGTACAGTACAAAGTACATCCAGTTAATACTCCTTATATTTCTCCCCATTATCTATTTCCTTATTAATTTTATTTATCAAGAGGGATGCTTTCAGATATTTTCACTTTSATGTGGACATTTTCTTTTTACTGACACAGGCTGCATTTCAATGATAAAACATTTAAAATGTACTAGAACTTGCTTTGAGACTTAAATAGTTCCAGACTACATCTGAGGTCAAAGGGGAAGATGACTTCCATTCAAAATGGCTACAACTCAAAGAAGAGAAAGAGAGAGAGAGAGAGAGAGAGAGAGAGAGAGAGAGAGAGAGAGAGAGAGAGAGAGAACTGAATGAGAAGAAGAAATGGTGAGGAAAATTAAACCACCTTGCATCCCTTGTTTTGGGGAACACTCAGTGTGAAAGATGGATTTGGTGGGCAATAGTCATTGGTTTGATGATAATATCGCTCAAAGGCTGTAAAAAGCTCAACAGAATGACATTTCTTACTTAGACTGGGCAGAACTTTTCATAGTGACATAGAATTAAATTTATGTAGAGAATAAACAATACTCGGGAATGCACAGGAGACTGGTTGTACTGAAGAATCTTTAATGTCTGTTGACAGCTGTGCTGAGACTTGCACTGCATCTCTACCGTTAAGACATATGTAGAAATGTAGCAAAGGGTTATCAGGTAACTGCTTTTCCACCCAGAGACCAGGACCMTTGAGATCCACAGCTCAAACAAGGTTATCCAGCTCCATCTGAAAATTCCCCCTTCTTGGGAAGATGCCTCAGTTTCAGACTTTTCTTATTCTACTTGCCCCAGATATTCCCTGGTCAGCCCAGGGAGTCTTCCTTGTTACTTTATGTTACTTGTAAGTAACATAAAAGAAGAGATCCTTTTACTGTCCCCAAAGGGAATAGCTCTGGTAGGAAATCAGTCTTCATTTTACATCAGAAAATCCAACCATAAGACATCATTCACAGGAAAAGAGGYTTCGTTACTTCTGCTCACAAAGCTGCCTGCTTTACTAGTCTGCCACACTACAGTCCTGTGGCACTTCTAGGTTATTTAGAAGAAGATTGGTACTTGGGCAAAAGGACAGCCAGCCCTTAACATCAACAAGCAGCATGAAGACTAAATCCTCAGATGGCATAAACTGGCAAAGCTGTATGGAAAAGTTAAACTTCACCCCGTATTGTTAAACTCAAAATAGAAACTTCAGCACCATCAGACTAGACGAGGCCAGCAGCTCATCTGACCTATGACCAGCTTCAAAAGCTTCAGAGGGCAGTATAAAAACCCTGCCAGGACAAACCTACAAAACAAACTGTCTAAATGGACAATCAACTCCCAACTTTCTGTGTCAAAAATATGGCAGATTCTGTGAAGCAGGTGAGTTCAGTCCTTCGCAAGATGCAGACAGCATTTGTATTTTCAAATATTTTTTGCTCAGCTTCAGAAATTTTCTTTGCTCAATCARACCAATATTATCCTTAAGGGTTTCACCACTATTAAATAAGTTATCTTAATATTCCTTTAGAGACTCTAGAACCTCCATAGCTGGGAGGTTTCCTCTCTGAATAACTTGCTTTCATACTCACCGCAAGAATTTCAAGAGATGGTTTRTTTTTATGTTATGATCTTGCACTATATGAATTTCAGTTAAATGTGTCACCCATACCCTGCTTCCTGGTCACATTCCCAGTCCTTCTTTTGTTCTTGCACACAGGTGCCTTTTCTTCCCCCACCATCTTTTCCCTCACTMCCCTGCACCTTCTCTTCATCTCATGCACAAATACACTCTCCTTTACCCATCTCAGTCATTGTCTGTCAAGTCTGTTGAGCAGCACCAAGTTGTTGACCCAGGCTCAAAAGAGTAGTATAACACACGCCCTGTTATCCCAAATCCACAAGTACATTTATATAGATGCATATTAGAGTGTCTCTAGAAGAAAGGCCCAT